AACGTGGGATGGAGCTTGCGAATTAGCCAGAAGGAAAACTGAAATGTTACTGCAATCGAAATAGTTCTGTTCGACCAACTCAGCTAAAGTGGCAAAGGTGCAATCCTACCGGCAATTACCAGCCGACAAGCCATCTTGCTATCGTTGTGGAAATGCTTGTCATAAAGCCAATTTTACCACTTGTCCCGCACGCAGCCTTAAGTGCAAAAACTGCGGCAAAATTGGGCACTACGCCCGAGGTTGTCGGTCGCAAGCCATCGCACTTCTCAACAAGGATGCTACACCGGAAGGCCATGTTGCTGATCAATCTCAGAAGAACGTTTAATCCAGACCCGCTAATGTTAACACTTCCAATAGTCTAACAATATCCGTTATCGAACCGAAGTTTCGCTTCAATGATATCCCTACTTCGTCATTCCTTACCATTTTAAAGACGCTGTTCCACTTGAAATAGAGCTAGATGCTGTTTCTCCAGCTACCATTGTATATTTCCAATTATACGAACGTTACTTATTCCAGTGTACTTTACAGCCTACTTCGCATTCATTTTGGAGTTATAGGGGAAACACCTAAAACCAAATTGAGATTCGTTATCGTGGCTCTACAGCTGTGTTGCAACCAAGCGAATTCAGAACAGCGGTATGGTAGTAGGAAAACTTCAGTAGCAAGCGTGAAGCGGTACACCCTACTCAGCACATGTGAGCACGTAAAACTGTCTGCCAGGGGAATCACATGAACATGAGAACGAGTTCCAGTTCGAAACGAATCAATGCCGGACACTGATTGGTTGGCACACAAACGAGTACGCAAAGGTACACGCGCTCCTACGCAGCAGCCATTCCGGCTGAATAGCAGTGGATGGATTTGACACCGCCAATGACCGCATCAAGCTGCATTCGGTAGGTGTGGATGTTGCAGTAGAAATTTCATCAGACAACAGACGACTTTTAATTGGTAGGAACGCCATGGTTGCTTTGCAAGTAGTACCATTATTCGACCGCATGCTTGTCTCTTCCGTCAACGTGACATACTGGCATGAAGGTTATCCTAAAGTTTTTTAGCAGTCCATCGGACGCATTCCATGTGGTGTGCACCGCATTCAGCTGAGGCAGGACGCGAAACCCGTTGCCACGGGTCAATGTCGGCCTATTCCGCTAGCAAAACGTCAAGTTATCTCAGCAGCAAATGATTTGATTGAACCTACCCACAGCTCTGAGTGGGTGCATGCAATGATAAGCGTTCTGAAAATAGAGGGTGCAGTCAGGATATGCAACGATTTGCAGACTAAATAAGCAGATCGCTGCAGAGCGATTCGTGTTGTCATCCAACGAGAAACTTACTGTATGTTTAGCAAGTGCAATCGCTTTTTCCAGGCTAGATTTAAAAAGTGCATTCTTCTACATGTCATTGGCCAACGATTCGAAGCATCTTACTGCCTTCCTTACTCCCGATGGCTTATTTTAGTACAAACTGTTGCCAATGGGTTTGAATTCTGCTCCCGCTGCCTGGCGAAAGCTCATGACTCACGTTTTGGCAGGTATTGAGAAGCAGGTTGCATACATGAATGATATCTGTTTTCGGCCGCTCAGTGATCTTGATTTACGTCTCAAACTAGTGTGCACACCAGGCCGAATCGCCGCTACAGCAAAGTCAGCCTCGCAGGTCTACCAGACCTTCGAAGCTTGTCGATCGATACCAGCCCGCGTGACGCCGCTCTTCAAAAAGTGGGTGGTTGTTGTAGCCGATTCATTACGACATCCTCTTACTCATGTTTCATTGGCTGGCTGAAACACGGCAACTGTGTTCTCATTGGGCGTATAAAATCGGAACGGTTAAAACTGATTATTCCGTGTGTTGAGTCTGTTAACCCTTAATTGAGTACGGATACGCATCCCGAATTTTTCCGTTGTCTTCTTGATACAACACGAACCTCGGAGTGATAATGTCGAATTTTCTTAATGCCAGCACCATAATAAGGCCCAGACTACAGCCATGGAATGTGAGAGCCATCGCAAGAGCTATGATCAGCGATCGATGCTAATCGAACGCTTTGTGCGTACAACCCATAAATAATAGTTGACAAGAGGAATGAGTGGCAAGCAGGGGTCCGAGTACAAGATCCAAAACCGGAATAAACAACCAATGGACACAACAGGTGGACAAAGGGATAGTAGAAATAGGAGGCTGTCACGCATCAACAAATCGCCTACTACAATGACCGGTACTTACAAAGTATCGATAAAATCCCTGAATTCATTTAAGAGATCGTAAAAATACTCCTTTGCCATAGCACCATACCGAAACCCAGCACATAGATGGCAGGAAAATCTATCTCCAGAATATTCCTGCTTTTCGTCCACCAATCTACAATAGAAGTGATCGAAACAGGTATACCAGAAGAAGCAATTTGATAACACCTCCTCCCACTTCGCCTCACACATGTACAGTTACTATAAACCAAGCATTCTCCTTAGATTCTATTGTAGGAGAAGCAGGGATGATTCCGTAGGTAATACAAACAATGACACTTCAGACGGAAGCTAACTATATGGTACCACACTTTATGCAATTTCTTCAGATGACACGGATGCCTCAGCACCAATCAATTGCAAACTGTATTCAATGCCCCAGCCACTCCTTTGTCCCCCGGTCTGCCAAGGCTCCCAAGTGATAAATCGTCCTTATCCCCGAACTTTTTAGTTGAAGATCCGACTCATCTGCCCTCTTCCCATAGACATATTACCTTAATGCTTCAGATAATTCCAACCTGAACATCATAACGCTCAAGTCTATTGACGAGTACGAAGCATTTCCAGCAGAAGATGGTTCCGCACTATTTCAACAAGTAATAATCTTACATCATTAACCTCAATCCAGACGTGTTTTGCTGCTCAATGCATGTTCCCTCAGAAACAAAGTCAATATGCTGCGCTCACCGGTGCATAAATCATACTCGTGACCGAAACGTGGCTAATGGAAGACACTCCTGAGTTAAACTACAACATATTGGAATACAATGCATTGGATGTTGTACGTATGGACTAGGTGGTGATTGCGCCATTTATGCACACGAATCATTGCGCGCTTCATGAGTACATATAGCCTCACATAAGTGCTTCCAGGACTCTGTTTTTATAAATAAGCAACTGATTAATAGCCTTTTACTCCTCGAGTGTGTATACATGCACCCATTTCCAACACCACAAAAAGTAATGCATTGCGTAACAGATCAACCAGGCAAGTACGAAATGATAGCTGGAGATTTTGACATGCCGGACACTTCGTGGACCTCATGCCATGTGTCCAGCAGATGTGTAAATCTGATTTCATCCATACATACGGATGGACACAGCGTGTTACGAGTCCCACCACCGCTGATGATCTGGAACACTTTCCTAGTGGTGACCACAAGTTGGTGTCGTTTGCATTCACAATGTCCGGCTCCGTAAAACGAATGCGCCTAAGCTACAAATGCTCTCAAAGCACTGCGAATCGGTTGACTGGGACTTGTTTGCCAATTTGTTCAGGCATGTACAGTGGGACTTTTCCGCACCGAGGACCCACAAGCTGCAGCTGATACTCGACATAATAACATCAATCTATGGATCCTATTGAACATAGACACTTTCCGTCATGTTGCGGAAAGGCTGTTTCGCGAAAAACAGAGGCTAAACTCAAAAGCATAATTACGTCATTCCACGAAACTAATAACTTCTGATTCGTGATGCAACACCATAATTTGGCCACATCGCTGAAGCTGCCTTATCAGACGAAACAAACCACTGATGAAAAACGGGCCCTCGACAGTCTATTCAAAAACCGTAAACTGATCTGTCTTTTAAATCGCAGAAGTATCAAGCGCATCCAAAGCACAACCTCACTCGTAACACCAGATGGCTTTAAAATTATCGCCAAATAAGCCACACATCCAACATAACAAAAAATTATGGAACGTCATATCAAATCCAAAACTGTAGAATACCTACTAACAAAAAAGTTAAAAAAACAACTCTCAACATAACTTTCGAATAATCAGACTAAAACTTCTAAACAATATAACTGCCGTCGCGAGAGTAAAATAGAAAATTGGATTGGTATTCAGGACTTTTTACCTACATGGAACAATACTACATTCTTACAGAGTAGTTGTTAAACCCACGCTAGAACATTGTTTAAGGGCGATCGCAGTGCAGTGGAACGAGTACAGAGAGCATTCATAAAACGCCTTCTAGGTGCCTCTTCAAAACTGAAATATTCTGAACAACGTGATAAGTTCAAGCTCGATTTGCGCTGGCTACGGCGCATGACGCATAATCCAGTTATATTCTTTGACATCTTGCACAGAAATATACATGTTTTTAATCTCAAGATGACATCAGTGAAATCAGCAGTCTACAACACATGAGACGAACAGAACTCAGTGGTGGGATACAAGTCCAGGACTAGCAGGTCTGTCAACTTTTTCCTTAATAGATACGCCATAGGCTGGAACATTCTACCACCCGGAATACGTGCGTGCACTCTCGAACATGAATTTTGAAAAAGCAGCAATAAGTTCATCTCTGTATAGAATGTGGTCAAACTGTTTGTTTGTTCCGTAACAACAAGCCAAGTTACAAGTAGGATTTAGGTTTCCTGTGACCCAGTGCATGTTTCACCTTCATACTATGTCCCCGTGATTTAGCTGTTTTATATGTGAGAGAAGAAAGGTTAAAAGCGAGCCAACATCATTGCAATCCAGTCAATTATTTATTATCTCTTCGTTATCCTTTCAATCGTCATTATCTGAGCTGACATGTAATTTTCCTGATCCATCTGTTGTTAACATTCTATAAAGTATGCACTTACCTGGTCATGCCGATCAAAGCGTGCCTCGCATCGTTGAGTATAAAAGTTATGAGATCAATGTTTGCAAGAAGGACTGCAAATTAGTAGACCACTAGATGACAGACTGATGCTGAGAACATCAATGCAAGAGGAGTAAAAAGAATAAAACTTACCGCTGGAGCTGTCGATCCGAAACAACAGAGTAAAGAGCTCTATTATTGACTGCAACAAATCACACCGGTATGATGATGCAAGGGATTCGGAATCGGGTTCAGTCGACTGCTCCGACGACATTTCATCGATGGTGGACTGAAATAACGGCATCAAAGTATCCTCGAAAAATTGTTCGGTTGATAGAGAAGATTGCAGCGAGTTTAGTTTTCCTTGCAGCACAGAAGCAGGAGTCATCTCGGTACAAGATCCAGATGAGTCAGAAAGGAGACGAAAAGCGGCAGAAAACACAGTGGCGGCTTTGAGGTCCAGTGTATCAGTGCTGAAATGATGCCACAGAAACGGGCCGTGTAACCGTCGAATGTGAGTATTTACGAGTAGACTACTCAAGACGTCTTCCAAGCTAAGTGGATTGCGATGATCATCGAGTGTGCTAGGTTTGTCGAAACAAGAGCGAATGAACTCAATTAAAGCAGATGACAAAGAATCGCGATCGCTTTTCGATGTATGCTCTGCATGATTGGATATCTTGACAAGGATGTCATCCAGCGGCGAAGAAACAGGTAGCGGAAGCGATGCAATGGCATATACAATGAGTTGCACTTCTACCTGTGATAAGCATGAAACAGGAAAGACTCATTAACCTGAAATGAAAATTAAAAATGACACCGAAATGAGCAAAATAGCGGAAAATCAACAAAAGTATGAGATAACGGAAAGTTGGAGATGCTGCGGTGATTAAAAGTGCACGTAGACACAAGTGGTGATGAGACATTTGGGTGAGATTGGACTGAAAGAGTTTGACGCGATTTTCCCCGTACAACTGACTTGAGAAGAATCGATGAAACCGTTGGTGATAAATCTCGCTGACAGAAACTTTCAATGACAATGGGGATGTGACAATGGGGTATGATGACAGTTTAAAGCTCGAAAAACCAAACATACGTGTCCGTGGGAACGTCGCCAACACCGGTATATCGAGTAGTGGTGCAAACAAGCAAGCAAGACCGTATGTGGTCGAACCCAATGCACATGATTGGTTCGAAGCGGCATCGACAGCGCACAACTAAATGTGATTGGCTAGTACCACGATAGACGAACGGTACAAGCAGGCCAATGGAAATGTGCGGACGCAGTGGCGACGAATGAAGCTAAAAAGTAGTGGCAAATGACGTTTAGTGACGAAGCATCACAACTGCCTATGGTGTAATGGACCTTGATGAAAGCAAAGCATTTGTTCTGCTTTCGGCGGTCTACACAATATGGGTTGAGTTCCAAATTTGGAACGCTGGAGAGTAATCGCTTCCATACATTTCTATTGTATCAAAATTAGGTGACCCCGCTTATAGGTGTAATGATGAAATGTACATCAGAACAACTTGTGTATGGTGCAGTCAATTGAACCTATGTGACGTTGGAGCCAAAATTGAAAAACAAATAAAATAATGTGTCAGCTGTAGGCGGTAACGGCGCTTCGCTGCCTTGCGACCACCAGTTAAATAAATAAGTAAATAAATAGATTTTATATTCCTCGACGAGGCGAGAAGCTGTTCCCTAGAGGGAACAGATCAAATAATGGTACAACCTTTCCATGACATTTCAACAATACATTTTCAGAGATAAACATGGGCGCAATTGCAAATTAGGTAACCCAGAGTAATCAGAATCGTTCTGATATTTTTTCCTGCCATTGAATCAGGATTCTTCACAATCACATGACAAATATTTGGTCCGAGAAAAAAGATGTGATGAAAGGGACTGTTCGGAAATTTATTCAGGCATCATAGATAGCGTTTTCGAATGCGTTATCTAGGGATTGTGATGTACCGAACATGTTAAGCAAGTTTTGAACGGTTAAATGCTTACTAATGGCAAGCCTAAAATTGCAAAGTGTATAGCATATTCTGATATCAATTGGAAGTTTGTTCCAAATCTTTGAGTATTGGGTTAGAAAGAAACGTTCTCTGATTCTCGTAGTAAATTTTGGAATCATGACCTTTACCTCTTTGTTACGTATTGGATATCTGCTGTTTAAAGATATGTGAACACCGTTTTCAAGACCGCGAATTTGACAATTTATGATTTTGTAAAGAACACATCGATTCAGCTTCACTATCAGTAGCCAAAGTGGGTCAAATCCAAGTTTATCACATCGCTCTCTGTATGTGAACTTTGAGGAATATCCACATAGCTTTTTCGTGAAGCATCTCTGGACCCTCTCAAGTGCATGCTGATCAGATTTCCGCAGGTTAGACTGTACCACTGCACAGTATTCCATACACGGCAATACATATGTTTCGTAAATCGATATGCGAGATTCCCTGAGGCAAAAATGACGGCAGATGTAACCGGTGGTCTTCATGGCTTTCGAAACTTGGAAGTCACAGTGTTCAGAAAAGTCAAACGTGATTGAATATCGTACGCCCAAGTCGTGAACTGCCCTGCATTGCGAGATATATGCGCCTTGTAGTAATAAACTGTCTGGCGGTACTTGGCATTTGTACGACAAAATATTACACTAGTCCACGGAAAATGGCATCTGCCACAGTTGGCACCAGGAGTCAAGGGCAGATAGGTCATCCTGAATGAGACGTACGGCTTCCTGAGTATGTGCACGTGGTTGTGAGTAGACAACTTTAATGTCATCAGCAAAGATAAATGCAACACCATTTTCTATTCTCTGGAATATATCGTTAATATAAATTAGAAAAAGAAGTGGACTAAGAACACTCCCTTGAATCACTTTACTAGTGATTGCTGTCGGTTTAGAGAAATGGTCGCCTATGCGCACCACCTGCTGTCTACCAATTCGATATGAAGACAGCCAAGAGAACATCGGTTCTCCAAAGCCCATAGCCTTCAGTTTGTTTAGTAACCTTCTGTGAGGCACTCTATCAAAGGCTTTTTGCATATCCAGGAACAGGATTACGACACTGTTTCCCTTGTCAATGGCAGTTGTTGTGTGGTTTAAAAAGTCAGTCTGGCATGTTGCGCAGGATCGACCTTTCATGAAGCCATGTTATGAATTGCTGATAATGTTAGCGTGGTTCAAGAATATAAATAGTTCATCTTTCACTATCCTTTCCATTATTCTAGATACGATGGGTGTGTGATTGATGGGACGAAAATTTTTAACCTTGTGGGCAGCGCCATTTTTATGTCGTGGGATAACGACCGAAGTTTTCCACTGAGTAAAGTATACTCCGTTGTTAAAACAGAGTGTAAAGAGGTTGAGCAAAAGCAGAAGGAAGTCACTACCACTGCTTTTTATTAAACAAGGGGGATCCCATCAGAGCCTGCGCACGTTGAGGAGTATAAGCGAGCGACTTGACCAGTGATTTCCGCTATAGTGAATTCCACTGTGCAAGACCATCATTGTTGTGCGGCATGATAAGTGTTAGTGTGTCTGATGATTTAGTGAGCATTGATTCGGCAAAATAAGCACTGGGAACTTCGCAGACATCACCTGGTGCATCGTAGTATGTTCCATCAGGTGTGGTGATAAAATTGAAACTGTCGCTGCAACGCGAACCCCGGGCAGGGAATAGTTTGGCTAGCTCAGCCGTTTTGCTAGGGCCGTTCAGAGCTTTATACTCTTCTAGGAGGAGAGTTTTGTCACGTTGATGCCTCTGTTCATCGACGAGCTTCGACTGCTGTAATAATAGCGCAAAGTCAGCAGTTAACCTGAATTTCTGCCGAATTTTATGAAGCTTTCGTGCTGACTTCAAGGCCTTGCGATCGGATTTACGTTTAGTTTGGTAAGCACATTTAAGTGGTACTGCTGAGTCAATGCGAAAGCCAATTGTACTATAAAATGGGTCCGTCACATGTTGAAGACATGAAGAGAGAAAGAATTTATCCCAATTCAACGAACGAACCAGGTCCTTCAAAGAGCCCCAGTTGACAGAACTGAACAGACGAGAATGCATTGTGTTCTGTACATTGGCCATGCGTAATCGTAGGCGACATTTGATCACGCGATGATCGCTCCCCGGACAATCATCAAGAACGTTAACATTGATTGCAGGTATGCCCAATGAAAAAATGAGATCCAGAGTACTTTCACCTCTGGTAGGTTGGAAGATGTGTTGCTGCCAACCATTCATTTGGATACAGGAGATAAGATTTTGGTATTTCAAAGGAGCGGTTCCTATAGGCCATGAAATCGAAGGCAGATTGAAATCACCTCCAATAATCTTACGTCAAAGTGGTAGGCTAGTGGCGCATTCAAATGCAAGCGTCAAAAGTTCTAGGTCTTCTTGGCTGCAGCTTGGCGCGCTGTATATACATCCTGTAAGCAGCTGTTGCTGATTAACAGATATTGTAAGCCAAAGTGATTTCTAAACATCGTTCAACACTGGATTACCGAATGTTGCTGTTGCGAGCGATTTTTTCAGATAAATTACACAGACACCACCTCGACGACCAGGCTGAGTTCTCATAAACTTGTTATATCCGAAAATAGTTACCTGAGTGTCAGACATGCCATCATGGCACCAAGATTCAGTTATAAATATTATGTCAGGATTATTCACCAAAACAAACGAGCGCAGTGTGTGGATCTTAGATTGAAGAGAACGAATGTTTATCAAAAATACTGAGATAGATGTGAGATATGAAGAAGATGCATTAGATAGTGTTATAAACATTGGAGTTTCAAACCGTGTGTCTGGACCCAGGTTAGAAATTGTTGAAAAAGTGCGCGTATTGACAACGGTGGAAAATGGTTTGGAGGTGGCCACATCGGAGGGGGTTGAGACTGAGTATGACCCTCTAGAAAATGGTTTGAGGGAAAAAGTCCATGATTGTTATAATAGCCTGTGGGAGCTGGAGAGTTAGGTTGTATCCTCTGCAACATGTCGCTAATAGGCTGTTGATTACATAACGCATTGATAGGATTCAGTGGATTGCTGTTATTTTCATCTATGGGTAAAATGTGCTTAAGTGCGCTCGATATACAAGGCTTCACTATACGCGGTGGAGGCACACTGGTGTCAATCCATACACCAACATCAGCATAATCCATGTGATTCGTTGATGGAATCGGAAAGTCATGGTAGCCAATTACACCGTGTGTAAGGTGCAAAGATGGCGGCACGTCTTCCATAGCTTTATGACCAATGGATGTACGTCTATCCAAACAAAATAACGATACAGAGTCGCCCAATGATGCTTGCAATAAATCGAGGTCAACCGTCACTTTACTATCGATCAATTTGACCGGATCCATCGATATTCTCGATGAGCTTGACCAATGAGCTTGACAATGACTAGAGCAGACTTTAGGCGGGACATGACAGTTCGAGGCTTGAGGTAGCGGTTTTGCATGCAACTGGGATTTAGCAGGTAATGCAGTTGTTATTCGCTGATCCCCATTGTTGTTACTTCGCATACAGGAAAGAGTATTAGGAAAACCTATATGACTGTCAGAACTGATTATCCAAGAAGAAGCACCATGCACATCACCAGTTTGGGGGATTGTAGTGGTTTTGGGCTTGGTCGGCTTATCATGCCTAGCCGTGAAACTGCGGCCTAGTGGAAGTCCTCCAGCAACCAATTTTGCATCTGACCTTGATCTTAGCTCCGAAGTGCGAGAATTAGGTGTTTTACCGGACACAGCATCCAATGCAACAGAGTGGCCAGCATATTCATGTGATTCCTCGTTAATTTCAAAAATCACTTTATCATTCACCGCTTCGTCCCTATTTGCGCGCGGGAGGCCCACCCCTACGCGTATTCGAACCCGCGCCGCAAGATTATGAGACAAGCTCGTTACTTCTAGGCTAAGGGCCGACAACCAAAGTTGAAGGGCAAACCTTATTTTCCAAAACACTACTGAGAGAAAGTTTGCTAGTTATCACTATTTATGGGAAGAGGAGATGGGGACAGATTGAATGATGAAGGTGAAACAAAATTCGGCCCGCATAAGCCCAAAAATAACACTTGCAAAACGAGTTGCAGTTGAGCTCATGGGACACATAAATTTGAAGAACTCGGGCCTCGGCCAGTGTTTGCGCGTTTTTTTTGCAGTTTAGTGTATCTAAATATTGATGTAAGACAAAGGCATTGATACCATCCAACAAGCAAACTCCTGACTAATAGAGTCAGCCGTTCTGTAGCGTGTACTTCGGTAACGTGGATTACCGTTATTAGACAGGCTGGTTTCAGACGAAAGTCGAAATGATGTAAGCAACCTATTTGATAAAAAATGGAGTTGGGTGCTGAAGACCGAAAAAACACATGCTGGCCAACGACTATGGGTAAGTGGCGAAACACGTGATGGGCCTATTACAGGCTGAGCATGCATGGTTGTTTTCATCCTTTCTGGCATCGCAGGTGTACGAAGTATGACATCAAAAAGCGAACAGAAATGACCGACGAAGTGTGGAAATGCACCGACCGAAAAAGCGCCATTTTCATCAGCAAAAGGGGCACTACGCCCCCATGACAACCAAAAGAAATTTAGGAGAAGATTCTCGTTACGATAAGCAACCAGCAGAACAACAGTGGCTGTACAGTCCGAGAGAGCTACGTGCCATTGAAAAGAATGGGGACGAATGTGTACGTGTGAACCACTGGCACTGATGAACACAGGAATGGGTGCCCAGCAAACATACTAATAAGTAGGAAACGCTCAGGAAGGCGATATACAAGCACAGTGATGACGCACTGGACGGCTCAAGTGGCATCAAAGTGTTAACGAATACCCACCTGAGAACTGATCCGAACAGCATCAAAACATGTGGGTAAGTGCGTTGCAAACCAGTGGAGGTTCTGTGTGGCGGTTTCCATACACGGATAGGAGAAGGTCGAGTTAGGAGATAAGTCATCGCCAGTATTGACATGATCGATCAGTCGTCGGAACAAAAGTGAGGCGGATACATCGTCCTGAGGCGTAAGAGTAAGGAACGCACCGAAAAAACTGCTTGCAGCGATGACCGATTCCGCAGTGTCTGTATTGGCTTCTAGGTCTCTCATGACTGGGAAATCGAGATTCTTCAGCTTATCGGAAACACGATTGAACTGCTCCAGATCCGATAAGATACGAGCAGAAACTGAGGAGCCTTGACTACATTTGAATGAAGAGCATACAGAAAATAGAGGGCGTATGAGCAAGTAGTAGAATAGAAAGCAACAACAAGATAAGATGACAGGCGTAGACAGGTCAGTTGTGAGGAGTCTTCTGCCCAGATCTACTCTCAATCGCGGTTCGGCACAAGCCGACTTCGCGACTACGAAAAGATAAGGTACAAACAAGGGAGAAAGAAGAATAATGGTACTCACCCATCAATGAAGCAGAGGACTTCCTTCAAAATCCATCGCCGTTGGTCAACTTCCAAGCAATTCCCGTAAGGCCCAAATACCAACTGGTGGGTCCATCTCACGAGGCGTTCCAAATCGAGGGCATCCTGAGACGGAGCAATACCGGATAGTAGCGAATGTAAGGTTGACAATTGTTCGCGACGATAATTGGCAACGGATGTGGAGTTACTCAGCACGTTCAAGCCATACATCGCACATAAGTCAGCGGATTTCAGTGTAGACTCTAAACCGGTGGGAAACAACTGCAGTATCTGGGAAAAAGTGACTAACACTGGTTCAGTCCTCAAGTGCTCAAAGAGGGGATGGCTTCGAAATAAACCATATGGCATAGGGGATTGTAATAAGTTCAAAAGCTTGGCGTATGGGAGATCAAGCAATTCTGCCATAAATGACTGGTTTGACTTCAACAGTGATATAATCCTGCGATGTACAGAAATGGGAAGGTCACCCGGAGGAGCGATTTGAAATTCAGTCTCCAAGACATCCAGTAAAATTTGTAGCTTGTACATGTCCGTCAAGTTTGGATATATAGTTTCTGAGCACCATTGGATAATACGTGAATGGGCATCAGGGGCCTTCAAAACCCATGGCATCAAACGGCGGATCTCTGCTTCAGTATTCGAAGTGGAGCTTTCGAGGAATAAGGTATCCAACCTTGAACAAAACGCCTCGTACAAAGGCATATGAGCGCATACAGCTAATCGGATTCCTAGTTTCAAGTGAGTTCGACTGATATGCCGAATAACGTCCAATTGACTAGATTTCGCCGTATTGAACAGATCCAAGTCGATCGGAGATACGCAGATAATGGTTCGGACGCACAAACAAGCGTAGACTGCACTCAAGCATTGCTGGCGCAACCATGTTGTCGCAGTTGACAACGCATTAGACGATTCGATCATGGAGATGGAGGATACCAAGTGGGAACCTGATGGAAAGCATGCCCCAGCATGCAGAATCTCTGAGTGGTTTGTGCCAAGGCTTGACACAATCAAAGCAAGCCGCAAACGTTCAGCTGAAGTGGGGTGTACCAACTGGAACGAGGGAACGTTGTCACATGGCTCGCAATTCCAAATGCAGTGGTACATGTCGACAAGACGTGTGTGAAGTGTAGAGTCGAGTTTCAGTTGTGCGATTTTCGGTTCCAGGAGAGCGTAACAAAACCGTAAGCGTGCATCCATGGCTGATGGACCGTTGGATAAGAGTTCCGTAAGGGCAAGCGTGGAATGTGCATCAGCCACCCAACACCGTAGAAATAATTTCCACCAGTTTAGTTCAAACGCGGATAATTGGCAATCACCTTTCGAACATGGTGACAGAGAGCGTCTAATTCTGTTAGAAACGACATTCGGTGTGGGAGACAGAGCTGAGAGATAGGCAAAAGGGAGCAGTAATCCCTTATCTGCTGCTTTGCTGACTTCTTCACTTGAACAATGCCAAGGAATCCGGTCAGTTATTATCCCGCTCAGCATATCAGATAGGGGGCGAAGAATCTCTGGAAGATAAAGCCGATCGTCCGCTCCGCTTGTGTTGAAAGCACAATCCAGGCGGTGACCGCATATAGCTACCATCCGCAACATCTCATCCATATGATCGGAAGGACAGTGGACATAGGCGAGGCGTGACAACAACAAACGGAGTGTTTCGATTGTTAGAAGAACGAAGCGAGGTCTATCGTCGAGCTCGGTGTTTGCCTCGAAAGGGCGCGGAATACGAAACAGGCCATGTAGCACGGTCCATTTGGTATCAACCTGGATTAGTCCGCAGGAGTCGTGCTTATCATGCAAGGAGTAATGAGTGGCCCACTGAGCACAATTGTACCACGTCGACTGAGTGGATCCACTCACGACATTTATCAGCAAGTCCATTGTGCGTTCTAGGATTTCAGCTGGGAGCAAATGGTCGCCATATTCAGCCAAATACTTGAAGGTTGCCTGCACCAGACAATCTGCGGCATCAAAAGCTGACAAGAGAAAATAACGCCCAACTGCGTACAACGAATCTGATTTTAGGAGATTTAGAAATTTGTTGCGATTCGTGTGAGAAGACCGAAAGCTTTGCATAATGGTAAACACAGCCGTCAAAAACAATGACTGTCGTCGTTTTAGTGATGACGGTGAACGAGTCCACAACGGACGGAGTTGGAAGGGTGCTGTAATAGGAGGTTGTGTATCACTTGGCATGAGGGGATTCACAGACGCAATGAAGCTGAATGCACTGAGGATGCTTTCCTCCAAATCGAACAAGTCCTGGAGGTGCAGCTTTGAACTCGAACTGGAGGACAGGGTGCGAAACGCAAGCAGACATCGACGAGCCATTCGTTCATTCGGCTCCATCAGTTCCATGTCTTGAAGTTTCGACTCCGGAGAAATGGAGGGTTCCGGTAGAGATGAGTCGATATAGTTCCGAAGTGCATGCAGTAGGCTAACGTACCATCCTGGTGACTGCTCTTCCGATCGACGCAGAGGGCTCAGTGAGTCTAAATGCAAGTGTCTTGACACTTCGAAAAGTCGCTCGTCGCCAGCGGTAAGCAGTGAGTAGTGCAACCCAACAGAGATCCAATCAGCCGCCGGACAGCCGACAAACGCTTTGTTGAATATGGTCTGCAAACGGCCGAAATATTCACTGTGGAAGACAATACAGAGCAAATAAGCGACAGTGTTAATAAGATAATAAAGAACACTGGTGTATGTCAGGAAAAATGAGAGCAATGCGCAACTCACGTGAGTTGAGCTGACGAGGCCCCCTCATCGACACGTTGATCTGGAGACAAGTTAGGATGCGACAACTCCCCAAGAATGGACTTCGCAAGCAAGCAGATCCAATGGGCTAGAAGCTTCTGGAATTCGCCGCTATCGTGGCCGCAGCGAACCAACTCGCCCACAGACATGATCCCAAGTCCGACTACGACGTGCTGATATCTGCCCAGCGAAGCGCCGAGGGAGAGTAAGTCAGACATAGCAGAAGCGCACTGATCAATAACACGCAACTGTTTGGATAACGATTCTAACTGTTTGCAAGCCTCGATATCGAGGGTGGTGGAGGACAGTAATCCGGCCAAGCATTGTGATGTTGCAGTGATCAAACTGGTCACTTCCTTTAGATAAGCGCGAAGCGCAGGCAACTCGGCGGTGTTCGAGGACGACCTGTCTGCCATTCCTGAGCCCGTGTCTGCTACCAGACGGAAGCTAGGAATCACCTCCACAATGGCCTTGAGAAGGTCAATATCTAAAACACGAAGCAACAAGGTTGAAGTGTAATGCTAAGAAACCATGTGACTCAAGATTACATCAAGGCTTTGTTTGGTTGATCGAGATTATGTGGACGATATTGGCTCGCTCTTTAACGATGTGGAGGCAGCCCAGTCAACCCTGAATAACCCCTCTAGTGTAGTCCTATCACTTGGCATGCGCGTCGCACATTCAAAGTGCTCACGTTTGGCGGGAGCACCGCGTGAGCAATGAACATGTTCGGCGTCACGTATTTGGTGCAGGAAGAGTGAGTGAAGCGCTCAGCACCATTATATCACGCACCAGGCTCCGATAGCTTGGGCACGTGTTGAGTATGTCAGCACACTGACTCATGCGACGTGCATTGTTTGCGCGCCGGAGGTGCGATTGGAAGAGGAGGGGAGGCCAAGCGATGACTTGGTCTAGAGGAATGAAAGCCCTCACTTCGAAACTGGCGTCGGTTGGTGCATTCTGACTGCCTGGCTGGGGTCCTAAGGACGACGAACATGTTGGGTTGGACACAGGTGCTGATATGGCGTTTGTGTTGTGAGTTTCTTTGTCCATACTCCTCCAATGCTGATCTCATACAAAAGGCATAACATAATGTTTAACATCATATTACTTGCTTGGAATCTTTTTGTAGTGTAATTCTTTAGGCTCGTATCTTTTTGTATTGCGGCACATTAGCTGAAGTGTGTTTCTCACCTACAGCTAACGTGTACTGATGATGATGCAGGGTCGTCAGCCACTTGATGGCCCACTGACTCCTGATAGCAAGGAACTCGAGGTAGTTGATCAATCCACTTACCTTGGCAGCTGCGTCAGCAATGATGGATGTAGCGGCACTGAGGTCAGTTCATGCATTGCAAAAGCTAGAGCAGTTTGCTCAAATCTGCGACAACTGTGGCAACAGGAAAGAGTGCTACTTCGGTGTTTATAAGACCACAGTGAGCGTCATCCACTTCTATGGTGGTGAGACATGGCTCCTTCGGTCTGAAAATGTGCCGCGCCTTCATGTCTTTGATCATCACTGCCTGCAATGTAATACTGGGATAGGGTGGCACCAGCGTGTCCGCAACGATGATGTGCCCAGGCGTGTGTTAGGCAATGATAATCAGGCTAGTTCATTAGAAAAAAGCACTGAAAAATCGTATGCCTGGTCCCTTCTTACCGTCTCGCCTTCGAGGCTGGAGTCCATATGACCTATCTTGTGTGTGACGTGAAACGTTGCAGGGTGTGGCGCGTAGTCCACTCAAGTGCCGCCTTTGCTGTTGTTTCCTAGTCGGGTTGCCTGTTTAAAGTGTGTCTAGTGCTGAGTTATCTGTGGGGTAATGGCTAATTATGACGCAGTGCAGTGGGCTTGCAAGGAAAAAATGTCATCGGTACCGCTTTGTCTTCACACAACAACCAGTTGTTTGTGACGTTATATAGTTGGTGTGTAGACGCCATGACCCTGAAGGTTTGCATAAGGCGTTAAGGTTCTACGCTAGGTACTCCACATACAGTTACTATTTTTCGCTCCGTAGGTCACTGTGGTTGTATAGTAGCGAGGCAACAATTCGAATTGCTGATGTACTGCTGTTAACGATGATAACGATGAGTTGGTAGCGTCGGAACATCGAATCTATGGTATGTACTCAAAGAGACGACCTCATAAAGCAGCGCCGTTAAAAGGCAATACCAATTACTAGGTTTCTGTGGGGTTGAACAATATCTACATTCTAGTAGGTTGTGTCTATACCGTTCCGCACCACCACTTAAATAATCGCTCTTCTGTTTTTGAATATATATCTGATCTAACTACGCTCAAAAATTAATCGCGGATGATTCTAACATGCCAAATGTCTCCTGCGAAAAGTGGTCTACACCAGATAGGCTCACGAGTTACACCTCAGAAACCCCACTATTAGGATGGACCCAAGTCGTGCAAAAACCAATGACAGGTAACAGTATCTCGGACTTGATATTTACTCACGATGTCTATAACACCACTGTGAACGTGCTGTCTCTTTCCATGTAGCGATCATAATGTAGCACATCACAGTTTCGCATTACTAGCAATAATCTCGAGATAAAATCCTCAGCCAATGGCGGCGCGACGCAGAGAACTTACGAATTTAGATTACTGGTTGGAAGCGGCAAGTAGAGTTTGCTCTCTGGGGGTGCATCTAATGTCACTCAGGGACAAAGATCCGTTATGTTGTGTTGCGCTCAATATATTTTATGTCGGCAAAGTTTTGTCCAGGAATTTCTTAAGTTCCGACACCGACTTGGCCTCAACTATGGCAGGTCATTCCATACAAGCACCATAGAGTTGGTGAGCGACCCGCTTCAAACCCGGTACGACAAGTTTGTACCGGTGTCCTCGTGTGCTGCTTGGTGTGCACAGATGAAGCATCGGCCTCAACATAGGATAAGCCCCCGAACGTAATATCCGGTGCGTCATGATGAGGTCAACCCTCAATTGACGGTAAGCTAAGGTGTACAGCCCTAGTTTCTTACATCGGTCTTCTTACGGCACACCTCGTAAGTTGCGAATCAGCCTGGTCGCTACATGCTGCATTCGCTCAATGTTTTCTACCTAGCCCCGGGTGATAGGACAATACGCCAGAGAGCCATACTCTAGCATTGATCGTATTATTGAGAAGAAGAGGGGAGTGGCAATCTCTTCGGACCAAGTGCTGAAGCTGCGCCTGAGCGCCCAAAGCATCCGAAGGCTGTTTTGGTACAGCCTATTCGTGTTGTCCATGGACTTTAGGTCGCAGCGTGAGAGTACACCAAGATCTGGCACAAAAGGCGCGGGATGCAATGGTTGACCGGCCACTGTGTAGGTTCGGCTGTGCTCACACTTACGCAGCCTCATGAATTGCGACTTGACCGGGTTGATCGGAAGGTTGACCTCTGCCGACCACGTGGAGAGGCGGTCGAGGTCCTGTTGAACCAGGTCACAATCATTGGGTGTGTGGATTACTCTCCATAATTTCAAGTCATCGGCGAACAACGCACAAGGTGATTAGAGTAGCTGAGGCACATCGTTTACATGGACCAGAAACAAACTGGGCTCCAGTACAGTGCCTTAGGGCACGCCACTGCTCGATGGATACCAGTCGGTTAAATGGTCGTCCACCTGGACTCTCCACTTTCGACCAACAAGGAAATTCTTGATCCATCGATGCAGCGAGCCGCCAACACCGCAACACATCTTATCGTTCACTGTTCCATGTGACGTTCCTTTGCTCAGTACACTATCAGCAGTATAAAACTGAGCACAGTGACTTTCAACTACAGAGGTATCCAGCAGCACATAGACCGACTACGACCATCCTCGTTTCCTGGCCCAGATGGTCTATCAACTTTCTTGCTAATGTACGGTGGCTATGATACACCACTTCTAGTCTTAAGCTTGTTTACCATGGTCCATTGAGTCGGGCATTCTCCCAATCTAATGGAAACTCGCGCAAGTCAGCCCTAGGCACAAAAATGGGCCAAAAGCAGATGTCAGAAACCACCGCCAAGTAGTCACAGGCCTACTGTTACGAGAGTAATGGGGTGAACGACCAAAGAGAAAAGTATAAGCTACTTGCTCTCACAAAACCTGATTAATCAGAGAGCAGGGCTTTATACGAAAACGACTATTGCAAACATGCTAGCTGGAATTTCTGAATTGTTTAACGAGCTCTGTGAGTAATAGCCATGAAGCTATCATCATTTTCATCGACATGAAAAAAGCATTTGGCAGAGTACCGCATCGCCATCTGCTAGGGAAAACGTTATAATTTAGCATCACAAACCCATTGCATGCTCGGTTTAGACCATACCCTACTGATCGCACTCAACAAGTTCAAATAGGTATACATAGGTCACAATCGGTGCGTGTTACTAGTGGTGTGATCCAAGGGAGTGTCCTTGGTACACGGCTCTTCTTGAAGCACATCAGTGACATAACAGAAGCTATCAAAATGGTACAGCCTACCACTTCGCTGATGATATTAAGGTACTGTACACGTTGAATCCTGGAAATCTGGAATACACTTCGGATAACATATGGAGAGACTTATAAGCTTTCGAAAGATGGTGTAAAAACCGGCAAATGTCATTCGCTGTGGATAAATGCGAGACCTTAGCATATCGATGCGAAATAGACATGGACACCCTATACCTCTGTGGAAAGCCAATCCCATTCCGCAACACAATAAGAGACTTGGTATTCATTATTTAAGCACCCTCAATTTCCGAAAGCAAATGGAATTCATAGCAGCCAATGCCCGCCAAATAGCGCGGCTAATTTTCAGATAACTGGTACTGCGTAATTCCAAGCTGCTTATGTCAAAATAAGGGTGCGCCCTCTTTTAGAATACTGTTCGATGATACTTACCAGTTGTAGGAAACGCGATCATCTACGCCTGGAGAATGTGCAGCGTCGATTGACCAAAACCCTATCTATCGAAACCCCAACACCATACTACGCAGAGCGCAGTATTCTGCTTAAATGAGAGCCTTTGTGGCTACGGAGACTGAGAATGGGCCTGAAGTTTCTGTTCGATTTAGTGTACAAACTGGCACTCGCCCCGCACAGTAGTATAGGAGGGGTGTTCAAAAAGAAACCAGTTTTGCTACAAAATCTTTATTGCTCATTGCACAACATTTTAGGCACTTTTCCCATCAAACTAGTCCCCCCTACTGTCAATGCACTGCTCCCAATAGTGCTTCCATTTTTGGAAAGCATCCTGGAACGCACTTTCTGGGATGACGTGCGAGTCTCTTGTCCCATTGTCCTGCTCCTCCTCTATGGTTTGGAAACGCGGTTCATTTAACGTGATTTTATGTACGGGAAACAGACAAAGTCTGCAGCAGTTAGGTCCGGAGAATACGGTGGATGGGGCACAACGGGAGTGTGATGTTTTGCTAGATACCTGCGGACAGGGAGCGATGCGTGAGCCGGCGCATTGTCATGATGCGACATCCAAGTCTGGTTTTCCACAGTTCACGGCTCTTCCC